AAATATATATACAAATATATATATATATATACATATATATACATATATATACATATATATACATATATATATATACATATACATACATATACATACATATACATGTATATGTGTATATACATATATATACATATATATATATACATACATATACATACATATACATACATATACATATATATATACATTATATATATACATACATATATATACATATATATACATATATATACATATATATACATATACATACATATACATGTATATACATACATATACACACATACAAGTATACATGTATACATGTATACGCGCTCAGTTGGGTAGTGACAAAAATTGACAAAAATTGGAGTCAAATATAAAAATGTATATTTTGCGTCCTAAAATTGAACAACTATTTCTAAATTTAAATGTTCAATTTTTAGTAGGCTCAAAAAAGTATTGTGTTTTTCAAAGAGAAAAAATATTATGTCAATACAAAATTGATCTGTAATTGATGTGTATCGATGTGATATGCATTTATGTCCTACGGACGGTCCGTTCAGGCATAATTTTTTTCTTTCCTCTCTCATAGCCTCCTATTTTAAATTGAACAGGCTATGCTTCTCTCTTTCTAAAGAAAGAGAGAGGGTCACGCATCATTGCATTTATTATAGCGTTTTTTTATATTGGAGTTGGTGTATCTCGTTCATTCATTGGGCAATTCGATCTGATCTCGATTAAAATTGTTTTCTTAATTTGCCGATCGAGGTATTTATAAAATAAAATAAAGGTTATGTATACGTAATATAAATTTATTTATTGAGAATGTATCGTACTTTACGGCTTACGAGCCCTTTTTCATTGCCTCATCCACAAGAGACCTAAATAAAAGCAGCCTCTTCTAAAACGATTTTTTTTTCACATAAAAACCCGCTATTTTTTATGTAAATTTTGTTTTAAAATATTTTAAATTTAACACAGAAGGCTATTTTTAGTAATTTATTTACATATTTATGTTTAAAATTTTCTTTTTCCAGCTTTTTTTCATAGCTTTATAAACATATATGTGTATACTATACCGCCTTATACATCGTTGGGTTCGTCACTTCGTGTTGGCCACACTTCTGCTAATTATAATTGATTGAAGTTATTCAGTGTTATTCCAAAGTTGTACTTTTTGATTGAGCCCATTATCATACTCGGAAGTTAAGATGTACTCAGTCATAGTCAAAGTATGGCTATCCTGTATTTCTCCACTAACAGTTTCATCAATCATAGGTATTGTACACATACATGCGGTCACGTACAATACTTCACTGTCGCCGTATGAGACAAACACACAACTCCTCCAGGCAACAAACAGCAGCGGAGGCGATGATATTGTCACAAATGGTGATAGCTTGAGCGCACTTGCTATCACTGGCATTGTCATCACGAGTATACTTGTGAGCCTAGTCCTCTGTTTTGGAGTATTGGTGCTTGTTAGTGCGATCAAGCAACGCGCAGTTAGACATACGCGGCCTCGCTTTACCTCGCACCAGTCGTCGGTCCGTCTAAATAACAATTACTTATCATCCACGAATAGTATAGCATCCCAATCCAGTATGTTGGGTACGAGTACACTATCTGTGAACCCTGAATTCTTAATGCATACGAATCACACATCGACCCCGTCGGACATGTCGACTTCTGATGTGTAACGAAACGAGGCGCAGATCCCTCTTTACTTGCTTCGCTTTCGGGTGCGAGTTTTAACTTCGTCTGCTGCCGACCTAGTACAGATTGTGAACACTGTGGCAATGGCGTCTTTGTATCACAGTTATTCGACGTACTCATATGTGTCCAAGAATCGTACGCCGATCAAGACAGTATGCTCTTGTCCCTTTATGATAAGAGTATAAAAGTGCTGTACTCTATAGATATGTCATATCTCCTAGATTATAGTATTATGCTGGCTTACAATATATAGGTAGCGCTTTGGCCAGTGTGTTACGGTAAGATATGACTCGTACAGAGAGGGCGTGTTAGGGCTAATCGCGACGGTTGCAATGGCACGTGCACAAAACTTCAGTTGCATGGCCCGTTTGACAGCCTCTATGTAGCACATGGCAGTTGCGGCGTGGTATAAGAAGCGGTTGTTGTGTAGCAAGTTTTCACGAACCGGTATACCGGATGGTGAAAGTGTGTTAAAGCAGCGACAGGACACGTGCTTACAATGACACTGGCGGTACACACACACAGATGCCTTCTACCGCAATGGATATTGCGCCACCACTCACGCAGGTATCGTGCTTGACATGCGCTTTGTCTGATCCATGTTAACATAAATCGGACGCAAACGTCCAAACGTCAATGCATTTACGCACAATGAGCTACTATTTCAATGGTCCAGTGGTGCGTGGATGTATAGGCTTTAAGGTTTAAGCTCAGTACCAACCATAGAGTGTATCACACAGTAACACAGCTGTACCACAGAGTGCGAGAAGGTGAATTGACTCTTACGAATGGGTATCGGCTCATTTGGTAGAGGTGTATCCAGTGAGTATAAAGGTATCTGTTGCGGAGGGCACTAAACGGCAACATGGGTGCGGAAAGGTGACCCTTGAACGAGCTAGATTCAGAGCCTCCATGCCTGTGTAGTTCCTTGTGGCCATCCCAAAAATTATACGTGTGTTCAGGGCAGAGTACCAGACTGCTCTAAAAGCTCATGAAACAAGGGCAGAGTATCACTTGTGCCAGACTACTCTAATCCTATGCGTATACATTATATTCCCACATCAATGCATTCCCCAACGTACAAGTATATAGGTACGAATATATGATAATAAACACACAAATATATAATAATGAACATGCATATATATGTATGTATGCTGTGTATAATCGTGGATGTAAGGTTCGAGATAGAACCAAGCACATGGCATATTGTGCTCATACATATATTATCGCAAGTGTCATCTTTCGAGCGTTACAATATCTTTAGCCACACACTCTTACATTAATCATATCTGTATGCGATAGCTATGAAAGAATCTGAACAAGCTTTGGACGTACATGTACTTTAAATTTAAGCGCTTTGGACGTACATGTACTTTAAAATTAAGTCTATACACCAGGAAATGGTGTTCGCAAGTCTCCTCGCCTATATAAATCGAAGAGGCCCATCAAGGATTCATCTCCTGAACTACACGATCTCCGCAACTCTTCACGCATCGCGTCATCAAACCATTCCCAATGTTTAGTCCGCCCAGCCACACTGAGCTGTTGCATACATCCCAGCTCGCCCATAACCTGTGACAAGTCCTCTCCAAGAGATACCGAAGCGTCATTATGCCATAAATCAGGGCCGCAATTGGATCTGCACCTGTCCTTTGAAAAATGGGTGGACCGATTCTCACCGTACACAGGTGTGTGCGGCACCGCTTTTGTCCCGCTTTCAAGGATGCTAACGCTGGCATCGGCATCAGTCTCTAGATCCAGCCATTCAGAGATATCGTCAACGCGCTCAGAATATCTACAGGCCGAATACTTTGTACCCGCATGCCCGTCATCACACACGCACACAGAATCGTCACAGGCAGCCATGGCATGCTCGTGCAGCATACTGACATGCGCACGTGCCTCTACATCAGATGCTAGCGCTCTCCCGGGTGTGCTGCAGGTACACATCCCAGACACAGCGGTCCCTTGCTCAACCGCGGCGTTCATGGGGTGGAGCCCTTCGGAACCTATTCGGCATGCACACCCATACGCACCCCTGCACACACGTAGATCACAGCCGAACGTCTGCACAAGCTGTTCAAACGCGATACACAGACCGACGTCTCTCAACGCTAACGCACTTCTGAATCCAGTACGCGCCATCCTGAGAATCTCTGCATCAGGCCATGGCACCGGGCCTTTATTCGGCCTTGCGGCTGCTTTACTCCATCTATTTATAGCACTGCTCTCCACCCCAGCGCCATCATTCTTGTCCACACTTCGTTCCGAGACCTCATGTGAAGCACCGGTGCTGGCTGTGCTAGGCACTGACAGGTCTCTATTTGTATGTGAGCGAGCGAGCACGGCCCATTCCAACGCACACCACGCCCCCAACCTGGACTCATGCAGAGCGGCATACAATGCTGCGCCCGTCTTGAGAGCCCATAACATATCCACACACGTACACCCAGGATGTTTCTGGGGCGTGATGTGGCTTCCTCCTGTTGCGATGTGGGGTTGTTTGGTGGTGGCGGGGTTTTTCCGAGATGTGGCATGGGGTTTCAAGGTGGTCGTGTTATAATTCGGCGCACCCCCGTTCAACACGAAGACGAGCGTTGCCATGACAACGCCCAACGGACTGGCCGTACGGGAGCACACGTGTCCCGCAATCTCCTTCAGCAGCGAGGAGAGGGCTGTTACTTCTACCCCGCTACGCGCATGCACCTCCCGCTCTGAGCCACCATCGTAATGCACACTACCTGTGCCCGTTATACACATCGCACACTCACGCACAAGCGCGTCTCTGTGGGTATACAACCCACAGAGGCCCAACAAAACCTCTCTGCCCATGCCCATAGTCGCCTCCAGATGCAGCAGATAACACTCGGAGCTGTCTGTGTGGGAGTACGGCCGGATGGCCCGTGCTAGATACAAGAGGGCTTCGCGATAGACTCGTGTGTGTCGTGTGTGACTGGCTGATACGATGACCATGTCATCCTCGACACCCTGCCACATCTCCGCATTCTCCATGGTCGTCTGGCCTTGAGCTGCGGCATGGGTGGTAACACCTTGAGTGTGTATTGGTGGGGTGCCAGACGTATCCTTGGCATGCATACGCTTTGCTTCTGTGCGAGTGCTTGGTGGCGCAGATTGTGCCAAGGATAAGGATGTGGCTGTGGCTGTGGCCAGGGTGGCACTGCCGCTGCTTTGGCGATGGCTTGCTGGCATGTGTTTGCCGTGTGGTGCTCGGTCCTCATCCAGTTGCTTCAGGGCAATGACACCCAACACGCACATGTTGAGACACTCCACACTCGCACGCACGTGGTGCAAGTGAAGATACTCGTTGGCCACCTTCCAGAATAGCGACAAGCCTCGGTGAAGACCCGTGATACGCCGCAAGACAGGCTGTACAGCATGCAAAAAAAAAGAGAAGAAAACATAAGAGGACGTAGGTACATTACATGCTTATTTAATGTAGCCATGAAAGGTTTTACACTGTATGCATACTTTTCGGCCTTGTTAAAGTGCGTGATACGCCGCAACTTTGGATGCGTGATATGATGGAAACAAGTCCTAGGCGAGTACACTGAGGAGTGTGTTCAGCCCAAAACCACACGTCTATAACTCACGGTGTGGAAATACAGGCCAGATATATATAGGTACACAAACATACCCGTGTACGTGCGCACATATGCTTAGAGCGTACATGCACACCACAATCACCCTAGAAGAGGTTCTTGCACAACATATCTCTCCGACCCTCCTGGATTCTGAATCGGAAACCACAAAACAGCTCACCCCGTAAGATTGGGCGACGCAATATATGCTCATCTCACCAATCCAGTCATAATCGCGCCCAAACACCCAATAATACACGTTAAACCGTTAAACTTCCAAGCATATCCGCGAAAGACATACGGACGATAGAACAAGAGCTCACCTGGCCATTGCCTGCACTCGCTCGAGACGCAGGCCCAGGCGTACGGGTCACTTCTCCAAACGCCGAGCGAAACGCCAGCTTAGCTTGCTCGTGCAAATACACTAGCTCCGACAACTTCTCAGTGTTGGTGGTGTCGTCAGACGTTCGCACACCCATGGCAGCCGGTCCTGGCTGGGTAGAGGCTATTGCGACACGGGACGAAGCTTGACTGGATGGTTTGGCTACCTCGACTGTAGAAGCGTTCTGGGATACGTTTTTGCTGGGCTGTAGGATAAATGTATTAAGCACCATCAGATGTATACCACAAATATACTGGAGGAACTTGCTTTGCACGTGAACTTTGCAATGGAATACTAAAAAAAGAATCGCCAGACATTATTCGGTCATGAATGTGTACCTACATTTGTATATACCATGCTTCAATACACACACACACACACACACACACACACACACACACGCGCGCGCGCGCGCGAATGTACGCGTATACTCTACAGTTATACGTACACATCAAATCCTATTTTACAGGAAGTGCGCCTCCTAAGCGTGGTAGATACGTGATACAGCACACACCTTCTTCGCAGCCTTGGCCGCCTCTTTCTTGTGCTTGGCACTCCCTTCATGGGTTTTGAGCGTAGCAACGGACCCAAATTTTTTCCTGCAGGGCACACAGTACAACTCTCCTTCTGCGACGGTTGATGTCTTGCTACGAGCGCCATAACTATCATTGTTATTGTGGTATGTAGCAACCTTCTCCGAGATTTTGCCTGCGGAGCTGGGGCTGCTTCTAAGTAGTGCACTTTTGTTCGCCTGTACTTAGTTGCAACGTGTGTCACAGGTGAGACGCAAATGTATGAAGATAATTGTGATTGAAAGGCAAAACACTTCGAGATAAGTTACTGCAACACGCAGCCACGGGCGACAGCAAATAAGCAATACTGTCGAGAGCAATTGCTACACATGACACATCTACGAAAGCAGCTTGGTTAAGCGTTCATCAGCTCAAAACTACTCTTACTCAAAGCTCAGGCAAAACTCGCCATAAAATGAAACTTAGCCTACAACACATAACAAAACGCTCAATATGGATGAATCAACACTCGGTGTGAAGGCAGACTATTCGCAGTAGTAGCGCAGAAGCACCCTACAACATCTCAGAATAACTACTAGGCTAACACGACCTATGCTCTCGCGTACACTCATTCGAACATCCACTCACACTTACACCAAACAAACATCCCCGAGTGAAAAGCGAAGTACTGGCGTGTACAGTACTCACCTTCGATGAAGTGTCAGCCAGATACACTTTCAGAGGGGTCGCTGTGAAGTATGAGGGGCTAGTAAGCACAGACTGCCATTCAAGGTCTATTTGTGCCGAAGCTTGATGGTAGGTCCCCTGTAGCACAGTCTCAACCACTGGGTGTAACACTGATGCGGACAAACAACGGAGGAAAATGAACACAAAAAGGCGTATATACAGATGGCAAATGTGACAACATTTGCCAAAGACAAAGCACTAAATAGAGGACACAAACATACACATACGACTAATTAATCATAAAAATAAATACATAGACTACTATATGTTTAAATAATACAACAACATAATATAACAATGAAACAAAAGTATGACAATGTGATACTAATTTTAATCATACGACATTTGAATTCGAAATATATATTTAAATAAATATATAT